CACAAAAATGTCAAAACAAATTGTGAAAAAGTTGTAAGTAATGGAGCAAATCTGAGGTCATTTTTGGATTTACAAGGCCAAATTCCTATAAAACCAGCACATTAATGTTGTTTTTGACCCTGTTTTGCAGCCCTGTGTTAATTAGTGGACTGTGACTTCATCCACACTGCAGAAATAATCCAGTTTGAGACCGCTTTAACTGCTCTGGTTCAGTGCTGGGGAATCCTGGGAATTGTAGTTTGTTGTGGCACCAGACCTCTCTGACAGAGAAGGCTCACAAAACTACAGTTCCTAGAATTCCCTAGCATTGAACCAGGTCAATTGAAGCGGTCTCAAACTGGATTATTCCTGCAGTGTGTTTTGGACCCAATTTGACTAAAGAACATTAGAAGACAAAGTTCTGTTCTGCGCGGCACTCTAGAACTTTGCGTATCTCTAGGGGCAACACAAACGGCCATCTCGAGGAGGAAGAGGGGCAAAAAACCCCGCCTACACGTCACTTTACTTGGCTCCACCCACTTCCCTTTATTCGCCCTCCCTTAGGCCACGCCCCTTAGGGGGCTGCGTTCACCCCTCCTCGAGCATCCTATATATACAAACACACAGACCACTTAAAGCCACGCCCCCATCGGGCGAGTCCAGCCAATCACGTTTTCCCAGGCCGGCACTTGCCGGCGTCCCCGCCTCCCTCCCAGTCTCTGTCAGAGGCGCTGACGGTTGAGGAGGAAGGAAGGTGCGCGAGGCGGAGCAGGTAGGGACCCCCCCCGCTTCCATAATTGGTTCCCCCCACCTGCCTTGGCCACTTGTATTTGGTTCCCCTCACCTTTGGTTCCCCCCCCCCCCGCAAAGCCTTCCCAACCGCTTTGGGGCTGGTAGATGAGATGAAGGGATGATGGAGGAGGAGGAATGGAGAGGTGTGAGGGAGGTTGACAACCAGCAGGTAGGTTGTGTGTATAAATGGCAGTCATTAATTACGATGGAGGCTACACTTAATAAACCCGAAGAAGGCTAAGACTTGGAAGGGCAGCTATGAAGGAACTGGGCAAGATCCTGGAGTGTAAAGATATATGGGGACTGCAGTCAAGAGAGAAAAAGAAGAAGACTAGGAATGGGAAGGACAGCCATGAAGGAGCTAGAGAAGATCCTGAAGAGTAAGTTCTGTACTGAATGCCAAGAACAGAATCATCCAGTCCATCTTGTATTCCTGGTGAAGGAAGTATACAAGATCCTAAAGAGTAAAGATATACAATGAAGCAGTAAAGTTATACTCGTCCAGTCCATTGTATTCCCCATAACCTTGTACGGATGCAAGAGCTGGACAGTGAAGAAAGTGGCTGAGAAAAACAGTCAACTCCTTTGAGATATGGTCCTGGAGAAGAGTGCTGAGGATACAGTGGACAAACAAAAAGACAAACAAATGGGTCCTAGAACAGATCAAGCTTGAACTCTTCCCTGGAAGCCAAGATGATCAAATTGAGGCTGTCGTGGCCACATCATGAGAAGGCATGGCTCAATAGAAAAGTCAATAATGCTTTGTATATAACACTAGGAAAGGAAGAAGACAGCAGAAAGAGAGGAAGACACCAGATGGATAAACTCGATCAGGGAGGCCACGGGACTGAGTCTGCAGAACCCAAGCAGAGCAGTGGAGGATCTTGAAGATGTCTCATCCATAGGGTCACCATGAGTTGGGATCGGCTCAAAGGCTGTTAGAGGTCTACAGATACAGTTGTTCTGTGCCTTTAAGTCATTTCTGACCTATGGTGACCCTAAGGTGACCCTATCAAGGGGTTTTCTTGGCAAGATTTGTTCAGAAGAGGTTTGCCATTGCCTTTCCCTGAGGCTGAGAGAGTGTGACTTGCCCATGGTCGCCTAGTGGGTTTCCATGGCCAAGCTGGGACTCAAACCTGGATTTCCAGAGTCATAGTCCAGTTCTTAAGCCATTGTACCACACTGCCTCCAATGTAAGTACATAATCTAAGTTGAGGCTGTTGTACTTTGGGCACATCATGAAAAGGCATGAATCATTGGAAAAAAACAGTAGTGCTAGGAAAGGTGGAGGGAAGTAGGAAGAAAGGAAGGCCACATGCTAGATGGATGGACTCCATTAGGGAGGTCATGGGTATGAATTTGCAGGAATTGAGGAGAGGAGTGGAGGACAGAAAGGTCTTGCAAATGTCTTATCTACAGGTTCTCCATGAGTCAGGATCAACTCAACAGCAGTTAACAAGAAAAAACATAATCTTGAAGAGGAGATCCAAGTTGCTGCATAAAATTAATTTATGACCAAGCTGGGAATCAAACCCTGGTCTCCAGTCATAGTCCATCACTCAAACCACTATGCCACTATGGCTCTCTTGTTAGCTGCTCTCAAGTTGACTGTGACTCATGGTGACCATGTGGATGAGACATCTCCAAGCTGTCCTATCCTCCACTGCTCTGCCCAGATCCTGTAAATTCATATCCATAACTTCCCTAATAGAGTCTATGCATATAGCATGTGGTCTTCCTCTATTTCTACTGCTCTTTACCTTTCCCAGCATCACTGTGTTTTCTAATGATTGATGCCTTCTCATGATGAGGCCAAAGTATGACAACCTCAAGTTGATAATCTTGGCTTCCAAGGAGGGTTCAGGCTTGATCTGTTCAAGTAGCCATTTGTTTGTTTGTTTGTTTTGGCCATCCATGGTATCCTCAGCACACTTCTCCAGCAGCACATTTCAAATGAATTTGTTTTCTTCTCATCTGTATTCTTCACTGTCCAGCTCTCACATCCATACATGATGATGGGGAATACATTGTCATTGACTATCCTCACTTTAGCATTCTGTTGTATACCTTTGCACTTTAGGATCTTACCTAGTTCTTTCATAGCTGCCCTTCCCATTCCTAGTCTCCTTCTGATTTCTTGACTACAATCTACTATACAGATACAGTAGACTGCTAAAAAGGCAAATAAATGGGTCCTGGAGCAAATCAAGTCTGAACTTTCCTTAGAAGTCAAGATGACTAACCTGAGGCTGTTGTACTTTGGCTATATCATGAGATGACATGACTCATTAGAAAAGACAACAATGCTTGGTAAGGTAGAAGGCTGTAGGAAAAAAGGAAGACCACATTCCAGATGGATATACTCAACCAAGGAAGCCACAGTCTGAGTCTGCAAGACCTGAGCAGGGCTGTGGATGATAGGGTGACTTAGTGGTTTCTTATTCATGGGGTCGCCATAAGACAAAGCCGACTTGAAGGTAGTTAACAATAATAAAGGTTTTATTCTGCCTTTTCTCCAACAGCTCTAAATGATATGCTTTATACCCTGCCCCCTCTTGTCCTTGTAAGCCTCCCCCCCCATGAGATATGCTAGCCTGTCAGAAAATGGCCCACTTGCCACTTTCTACAGACTCGTGGCTTCAAAAAGCACAGAAGCAAATTCTTGGACTTTCATGCTCCCTCTCCCCCATCACCCAATACATTTAAAACCATCACAGCGGTTCCTAAACTCTAACCTTCCAGGTATTTTGGACTTCAGCTCCCAGAATTCCAGCCTATTGGCCAAGATTCTATTGGTCTTGTGGGGGCTGAAGTCCAAAACACCTGGAAGGCTAGAGTTTGGGAATCACTGAATTCTAGCATGTTGAAAAGTTGTGGACAGATTGACAAGCCTGTTGTGGAATTGTCATTGGTCCTAAGAAAGTTACATCTGTAGGTTTTGAGTAGTGACTGTCAGGACAGCCTTAAACTGATTTGGCACAAGCTTTAGTGGACTGCTGCCAACTTCAGTCCATGAAAGTTTATGCCAAGTAACACTTGCTAGTCTTTGAGATGCCTCATGACTTCTTGTTTGTGCTGCAGCAGGCTCAAGGCAGCTGATCCTCATCACACTCCATGCTTTGTAGTTGAATGGGGATTTGAATTGTCTGTTCCCTAGCTTCTGATTACTTACACTCAGTATTTATATAGTATAATTCTGAGCGTTTGATTCATTTTGCATATGCTGTCTTGGTGATCCTAATAATGACCTGAGATACAACTGTGTGAGTTAAATTCTCTGCCAATGAGAATTTGAAGCCCAAAAGGCTAGTACCTTGTGGAAGGCTAATGCTGGCCTGCTTCTGTGCATGTTTTGTGTGTATGGACGTTATCACACGTGGGCCAGAAAGCGATAATAAAGTGGAAATGAGGCCTTCCGAAAATAAAGTGAAAATAAACCTTGATTCCACAAATGGCTTTCACACGTAATTACCTTAATTGCAAAATTAAAGTAAGCGCATTTAACGTTCACACACAAGTGAGAAAAGGCCGTAAATGTACTAGAAATTATCTTCTTGCACATGCGCAGATAGAGGAATGCTCGCCATGGAACCATAGGAAGAAGCAGGGAAATGCTCCTAAATTCGCATTTGCTTTTCACATTACGGTAAATGCGAAATTACTGTAATTTCGCAAATGCATTTCCTCAAAACTACTGAATTTCAAAAGATCTCGGATAACACCAGTTTCTGTCCAGTTTCTGTGCAACATCGTGTGAAATCATGAGGCACAAATCCAGTTTCTGTTTGGGATTTGTGTGGATTAACCAGCAGATTTCCCCCGTGTGATAACGTCCTATGTATGCATTCAAGTCACCTGTCAACCTAGGGTGACCCCATTAATTTCATGGTCTTTTCTTGGGCCAGGAATACTCAGAGGTGGTTTTGCCAGTTGCTTCCTCTGAAATATAGCCTACAGCACCTGGTCTCCCATCCAAGTACTAACCAGGGCTGATCCTGCTTAGTTTCTAAGATCATGGGAATCTGGTGCCTTCAGGGCATAAATCCTGTATTATCCGCAAATACTTTCTGAGATGTGAAAAGCAGTTAGTATCCATCCTAATCTAGGTATTATGTTACCTATTCAAATAGATTATTAACAATATCGTACTTAAGAAATAGTTTTTCATTAAGAAAATGCCTCATTTGTAGAAGGAGAGAATACATGGAAGGTTGTGTGCTTTAATAACTTGTTGTTCCTATTTCTAAAGGTTTTAGGAAAGTGTCCAGGAAATGTTTATACTGTACCAAAAAGAGAGAGAAAAGGTTGCAACCTTAGTAGATATGGGGAAACCTGAATAGAGGGGGCTTCTTGAAACTTGCGTTTGTAACTTTCCTATTCTGTACCCCTAATTAAAACCCCGCCACTAATAATGAATGAATTCATTAAAACCATTATTTTAAAAATATTCTTTTTAAGCTCACTCATTTGTTTTTCTCAAAAGTGCTTCGAAAGATGCCTTAGTAGCACCTATCCTTCCTCTGTTCAGTAATTCAAACACTAGTTTCATTTAAAAATATTAAACACATTCTCACAATATGGTGAAGGTAGGAGCTTACAGTTAATTCTATATGTCTCCCCACCACCCGGCAATTGCCTGTTAGTGAAAAATTGAGATGGTGGTGATTGTGTGAAGCCAAGTGTGATTGGAAGTGAGAGGAGCTGTGTGGGTTTTTTTTAAAGAGAAAGACTACTTAAAAGAAAACGTATGTTTAGGTATTTAAAGGATGCAATCTTGCATTATATAGACTTCTTATTCTTAAAACAGATTTTTAATGTATGACACTAATAATTCAGTCATATCTTGTGACATGTTTGCACATACATACACTTAAATGTTATTTTGGTGCAATTCTCTTCAGCATGTTCTACTTTAGTATTGCTAGGATCTCCAGTTGAATGTTAGAATGGTGTATTAGAATAGGATAGCAGTGGATAGGAGTATTA